CCTCTTTTCACTGACCATCGTTCTCCAGGAACTGCTCTCTCCTGATAATCATGTCCAAAGTGTGAGAGACAAAGTCTGGCTATGATCATGTCTTCTAAGGAACATTCTGGCTATACTTCCTCCTACACACAGATTTGTTTGTTCTTCAGGCAGTCCATGGTACTGTTAATATTCTTCTTCAACAAAATAACACAAATACACTCCTCTACAGTCTTCCTTATTCGCTGTCCAACTTTGACATTCATATGAAATTACTGAATATACCATGGCTTGGGTCAGGCACACAAACTGACATCTTTATTTACTCTTGAACACTTGGAAGAGATCTTGTGCAGCAAAATTGCTAATGTAATATGTCATTTGATTTCTTGACTGCTGTTTCCATGAGTTCTGATGGTGAATACAAGCAAAATGATGTCTTTGACAACTTCAATCTTTTCATCATTTATCATGATATTATTTATTGGTCCAGTGGTGAAGACTTTTGTTTTCTTTACATTGAGGTACAACCCATACTGAAGGCTGTGGTCTTTGATCTTTATAAGTAAATATTTTAAGTCCTCTTCACTTTCAGCATGCAAGGTTGTATCATCTGCATATCAAAGGTTGTTAATGAGTCTTCCTCTAATCCCGATGCCATGTTTTTCTTTTTATAATCCAGCTTCTTGGATTATTTGCTCAGCATACAGATTGAATAAGTGTGATGACAGAATACAATGCTGGCACACATCTTTCCTAATTTTAAACTATTCTGTGTTCCCTTGTTCTGTTCTAATGGCTGCCTCTTGGTCCATGTACAGATTCCTCATGAGCACAATTAAGTGTTACAGAATACTCATTCTCCACAATATTGTCCATAGCTTGCCATGATTCACACATTCAAAAGCCTTAGCTCAGTCAATAAAGCAAATGTAAATATCTTTCCAGTATTCTCTGCATCCAGCAAAGATCTATCTGATATGAGTAATAATGTCCCTCATTCCACGTCCTCATCTGAATCCAGCTTGAATCTCTGGCACTTACCTATCAGTGTACAGTTTAAGCCGTTTTTGAATTATCTTCAGCAAACTTTTACTTGCATGTGCTATTAATGATATTATCTGATGATTTCTGCATTGCAGTGGGTCTCACCTCCCTTTGGAATGGGTACAAATGTGAATTCTTCTCATCTGTTGTCCAGGTAGCTATCTTCCAAATGTCTTGGCATAGATGAATGAGTGGCTCTAGTGCTGTATCAGTATGTTGAAAAATTTCAATTTGTATCCCATCAATTACTGGAGCTGTGTTCTTTGCCAATGACTTCAGTGCACATTGGACTTCTTCCTTCAGTACCGTTGTCTCTTAACCTAAAGTGAAGAGGACTTAAAATATTTACTGATGAAGATCAAAGTGCACAGCCTTCGGTATGGATTGCATCTCAATGTAAATAAAACAAAAATCCTCACCACTGGACCAATAAACAACATTGTCATCAATGGTGAAAAGATTGAAGTTGTCAAAGACTTCATTTTTCTTGGATCAACCATCAACACTCATGAAAGCAGCAGTCAAGAAATGACATATTGCATTAGGCAAATCTGCTGCACAAGACCTTTTTAAAGTGTTGAAGAGCAAAGATGTCAGCTTGAGGACTAAGATACACTTGACCTAAGCCATGGTATTTTCAATAACCTCATATGATGCGAAAGCTGGACAATGAATAAGGAAGATCGTGGAAGGCCGGATGCATTTGAGTTATGGTGTTGGAGGAGAATACTGAAAGTACCATGGGCTGCTGAAAGAACAAACAGATCTGTGTTGGAAGAAGTGCAGCTAGAGTGCTGTGCTCCTTGGAGGCCAGGATGGCCAGACTTTGTCTCTTATATTTCAGACATATTGTCAGGAGGGACCAGTCACTGGAGAAGGATATCATGTTTGGTAAGGTGGAGGGTCAGAGAAGACTCCCTGACATGGATTGGCAAAGTGGCAGTATCAATGGGCTCAAGAATGGCAACAATTGTGAGACTGGCCCAGGACCAGGTAGTGTTTCCTTCTGTTGTGCACAGTCACTATGAGTTGGTACTGATTCAATGGCACCTAACAACAACAACAACAAACATCTCAAAATGGTAGAACATCATCCATTTCTTTTTGGTACAGTGACTCTGTGTATTTTTTCCACCTTCTTTTGATGCTTTCTGTATCATTCAATATTTTGTCCATGTTAACTTGTTAAGTGCCACAGAGTCAGTTCCATCTTACAATGACAATGTATAGGGTTTCTGAGGAGTGGCTGGTGAGTTTCAACCACCAACCTTCTAGTTGAAACTGACCTTGCAGCCTATGCATTTTCCCACATTATCACACCAGGACTCCATTCTGCCCATAAAATCCTTCAATATTGCAAGTCGAAGTTTGAATTTTTCCTCAGTTCTTTCAGCCTAAGAAATGCTGAGTGTGTTCTTCCCTTTTGGGTTCCTAACGCTAGGTCTTTGTGCATTTCATTATAATATTTAACTTTTTCTACTAGAGCTGACCTTTGAAAAATTCTGTTCAGCTCTTTTGACTCCTCATTTCTTCCATATCTTTACTTTACTATATCTGCACTAGAAAGGAAGTTTCAGAGTCTCTTCTAACATTCATTTTGGTCTTTTCCTTCTTTCTTGTCTTTTTAATGACCTTTTGCTTTCTTCCTGTATGATGTTCTTGGTGTCATCCCACAAGTTTTCTAGTCTTTGGTCAGTAGTGTCTAATGCATCAAATCTGTTCTTGAGATGATCTCTAAATTTAGGTGGGATATATTCAAGGTCCTATTTTAGCTCTTGTGGACTTATTTTAATTTTCTTCATCTTCAGCCTGATCTTGCATATGAGCAATTGATAATTTGTTCCACAGTCTGCCCCTGGCCTTGTTTTGGCTGATCATTTGTGGCTTTTCCAATGCCTCTTCCCACAGATGTAGTCAATTTGATTTCTGTGTATACTTCCTGGCAAGGTCCATGTGTATAGCCATCTTTTATATTGCTTAAAAAAATGTATTTGCAATGAACAAATCATTGGTCTTGCAAAACTCTATCATTCAATCTCCAGCATCATTTCTATCACCAAGGCCATATTTTCCAATGACTTATCCTTCCTTTTTTTCCCCCAACCATTGCATTCTAATCACCAGTAATTACCAATAAATCTTGATTGCATGTTTGATCAATTTCAGACTGAGGAAGTTGGTAGAACTCTTCTATTTCATCATCATTGGTTTTCGCGGTTGGTACATAAATTTGGCTAACAGTGGTATTAACTGGTCTTCTTTGAAATGTTCTTTTTATAATGAATGTGACACAATTCCTCTTCAATTTGTCATTCCTGGCATAGTAAACTATGTGACCGTCAGATTCAAAATGGCCAATACTTGTCCATTTCAGCTCACGAATGACTAGGATATTGATGTTTATGCATTCCATTTCATTTTTGACAACTTCCAATTTTCCTAGATTCATACTTCATACATTCCATATCCTGATTATTCATTGATATTTTCAGCTGTTTGTCTTTATTTTGAGCTGTGCTCCATCAGCAAATGAACGTACCAAAAGCTACTCCATTTGTATTTTCAAAGTCAACTCTTTGAGGAGGCAGCTCTTCCCCAGTCACATTTTGAGTGCCTTCCAACTCAAGGGTCTCATTTTCCAGGACTACATATGACAATATTCTGGTGCTTTTTATCACGTTTCAATATTTAATATTCTGATGCTATCTGACAGTGTTCCACTGCTATTCATAAAGATTTTCTGGATGTTCATTGACTAAATATTTGGAAGTAGTCCATCACTCCTTCTTCCAAGTCTGTCTTAGTCTGTAATCTCAGCTGAAACCTGTCCACTGTAGGTGACTCCTGCTGGTATTTAAAATACTGGTGACATAGCTTCTAGCATCAAAGCAACAAGCAAGCCACCACAGTACGACAAATTGACAGACGATTGGTGACACTTACTGTACTCATATACTTTTCCTACACTCTCAATTAATTATCTTATCTGCCTATCAGATAGATAAGATTATTGCCTCTGACTAACAGGTAAGGACGTGGAGGCTCAAGGACGTTAAATGGTTTCGTGAAAGATACACAGCTACTGAGAAGATTAGAATTCAAATTAAATTGTGGGATTCTAGACCCATATTGCTCTTAACCATTAAACCACACTGCTCCCCTCTCTGAAGCTACAGCTCCTCCATCAATGTTGGTTAGCTATGACTGTTGCTACTTTTGTGGTCATTGTTATGGCTAAATCAAATGTGAGTAAGAAAGCAAGTAGAGGATATAGAATAAATCAGAGAGCTTTAATAGAGAGCTAGGAAAAGATATCCTCTCCTCCTCTTTTCTGAGCACATTCCCAGGACTGACTTCTCTCTGTTTTCTATTTTCAGTTATTCTTCACACTGTAGGGATGGCTAAGAGAGTTAAAAGGAATGAGAGGAAAAAGCAAAGGAAAAAGGGGTTAGAATAGATTCAAATGTTTCTTAGGTACAATTTTATGTGAGACTTCTCAATCTTGAGACAATAAAATAAAAATAATATGACAACTCACAGTGACCTTAAGTGTGTCAGGGTAGAGCTTTGCTCCGTAGAGTCTTCAAAGGCTGCTTTTTTGGAACTAGATCACCCCAGCCCTTTTTTCCAAGGAACCTGAGGGTGGACTTGAACTGCCAACCTTGCAGTTAACAGCTATGTGGTTCCAAGCACTTGCAAGCTGTATGGTTTTGGTTTACTGACTCCCTAGCAGTGTAATCTTAGTTGGACAAATTGTTTAACTTCCCTCAGCCTAGTTTCCTTAAAGTCAGGCATAGACATAGTCTGAGATTCAGGCAGTTCTTAGAATGCAGAGAATATACAGCATAAGGGAAAACTTTTAGATGGAAGAAAAAAAAATAGGAAAAAATTAGGTTGCTTCATGGAAATCAAAGCAGTGTGCTAATTATATTTCTTGGCATTTGTGTAATGATAGAAAGGTTAAGGAAACCCACTCGTAATTTCCAAAGTGTGTCACAACAAAATCCACCAGCTGGTCTGCGATGCGAACAGTCAGGGTTATGGCTGGTGCAATCTCGCCCTCTGGTGACGGAAGCAGGTGGTGCTCCGATTTCACAATTGGGTATCTTGACAAAACCATAATCCTGTATAGGAATGAAAGAAATAGGTACATCACTGTTGGCCCCATCATGTTATGCAGACAGGATTAATCAAGTGCTTTAAAAACTAAGTCTCACACCACAAACATCCTGATGGTAGAATTTTAGAGCAATAAAGTTGCAGAGACGTATGCAATGTAGAGTTGTCAATGCTTACCAGCTGGTTCATTGCATTATTGCAATATAGCATGTTTTGCTGTGTCACTAAGCACAATGGATATCAATTCTATTTTAATGAGCCTTATGAAACCCTGGGTGTACTAGTGTGGTGCTGTAGGATAAGCACTCGACTGCAATATCATTTTGAACGGCAAGGTTGGTGGTTCAAATCCACCCATCACTCCTCAGAAACCCTCGGTCACTGAGTTGGAACTGACTCTATGGCACTTAATAACAACAACAAGAAGCCCTAGGAGGGAAAATGAAGCGAAACACATAAACGTCGATATGCTAGGCATTGGTGGTGGTGGTGGTTATGTGCCATGGAGTCGGTTCCCACTCATAGCAACCCAGTACAGGGTTTCCAAGGCTGTAAATCTTAGGATTTACAGAAGCAGAAAGCTTCATCTTTGTCCCATAGAATGGCTGGTAGTTTCAAACTGCTGACTTTGAGGTGAGCAGCCTGACTTATAACACTACGCTGACAGAGCTCCTTATGCTAGGCATTAGCAAGCTGAAGTGGACTGGTTGGTATTGGCCAATTTGAATCAGATAATCATATAGTTTATGATGTCAGGAGGGACAAATTCAAGAAGAATTTATTTAAAAAATTCAAGATCTATCTTGAAGATCAATGCTATATGTGATAAAATAATATCTATATGTCTGTCTACTGGTGGTGGTGGTGTGCCATGAAGTTAGTCTCAACTCATAGAGACTCTGCATAAGGTTTTCAAGATTGATAATCATTACAGGAGCAGAAAGCCTCATCTTTCTCCTGCTGACCTTGAGGTTAGTAGTCTGTCCCATAACCACTAAGCTCCTAAGAAGTATAAATCCTGGTGTGGCACTATAGGATAAGCACTGGACAGCTAACTGTCAGGTCAGCGGTTCAAACCCATCAGTAGCTCCTTGGAAACCTTATACAGGGTTGCTTAACAGCACTTAAGAACAACAACCTGAAAGACCAGTTAATGCAACTATTATTCAAGTTTATGCATCAACTACCAATGAGAAAATTGAAGAATTCTACCAACTTCTTCAGTTTGAATATGATCAAACATACAATCAAGATGAGTTGATAATTACTGTGAGTGGAATGTGAACGTTGGAAACAAGGAGGAAAGATTCGTAGTTGGAAAATATGGTACTTTTGATGGAGATGCTGCTGGAGATAGCATGACAGAAATTTGCTAAAACCAATGACTTCATTGTAAATATTTTTTTTTCTCTCAATAACATAATCCGTGACTGTATAAGTGAACCTCACCAGAAGGAATACACAGGAATCAAACATCTGTGGAAAGAAACAGTGAAGAATCTCAATACCATCAGCCAAAACAAGGCCAGGAGATAGTTGTGGAACAGATCATCAATAACTCACATACAAGTTCAGGTGACGCTAAAGAAAATTAAAACAAGTCCATGAGACCCAAAGTATGACCTTAAGTATATTCCCCTGAATTTAGAGACCATCTCAAGAACAGATTTGACACACATTGAACATATAGGGTAACAACAATGACCAAAGACCAGACAAGTTTGGGGATGACATTGAGAACCTTATATATAAAGAAAACAAAAGATCATTAAAAAGATAGAAAAGAAAGAGAAGACCAAAGTGGATATCTGAAGAGACTGTGAAATTGCTCTTAAACAGAGAGTATAGCTTAAGCAACTGGAAGAAATGATGAGGCAATGAGCTAAACAGAAAATTTCAAAGAGCAGCTCTAGGAGACAAAGTAAAGCATTTTAATGAAATATGCAGAGAACTGGTGTTCAAAAACCAAAAGAGAAGAACCATGCTCTGCATTTTTAAAGCAGAAAGAACTGAAGAAAAATTCAAGCCTTGACTTGCAACATTGAAGAATTCGGTGGCAAAATATTGAATGATGCAGAAAGCATCAAAACAAGATGGAAGGAATACACAGAGCCACTGTACCAAAAAGAAACGGTCAATGTTCAACCATTTCAGGTGGTAGCTATGATCAAGAACTGATGGTAATGAAGGAAAAAGTCCAAGCTGTACAGAAGACATCAGCTCCAGGAATTGATGGACTATCAACTGAAATGTGTCAACAATTTGGTTGAACACTGGAAGCACTCATTAGTCTATGCCAAGAAATTTGAAAGACAGCTGCCTGGCCAACTGACTGAAACATATCTATTTGTGCCTATTCCAAAGAAAAGTGACCCAACAGAATGTGGAAATCATTGAACAGTGTCATTAATTTCACATGCAAGTAAAATTTTGCGGAAGATCATTTTAAAAACAGTTGCAGCCACATATAGACAGGGAGTTGTCAGAAATTCTAGCTAGAGTCAGAAAGTATAGGGAAGGAAGACTATCATTGCTGATGCCACATGGATCTTGGCTAAAAGCAGACAATACTTGAAAGGCATTTATTTGTACTTTATGCAAGGACATTCAGCTCTGTGGATCATAACAAACTATGGCTAACATTTCAACAAATGGGAATTTCAGAACACTTCACTGTGCTCATGAAGAACCTGTACATAAACTTGTTTCAGTCATTCAAATGGAACAAGAGGATACTACACAGTTTAAAATCAGGAAAAGTGTGCATCAAAGTTATATCCTTTCACTATACTTAATCTGTATACTGAGCAAATAATCCAAGAAGCTGGACTATATAAAGAAAACAACATCAAGATTAAAGGAAGGTTCATTAACAAGCTTCAGTACACAGATGACACAACTTTGTTTGCTGAAATTGAAGAGGGCTTGAAGCATTTACTGATGAAGATCAAAATAGAAGATAAATTTCTGTATGAATTAAAACTCAATGTAAAGAAAACAAAAGTCCTCACAACTGGACCAATTAACAACATCATGGTAAACAAAGGCTGAAGTTGCCAAGGATTTCATTTTACTTGTATCCACAATAAATGCTCATGGAAGCAGCAGTCAAGAATTCAAATGACGTATTGTATTGGGTAAATCTGCTGCGAAAGTCCTCTGAGTCATTTTGAGGACTAAGGTGTGCCGGACACAAGTCATAATATTTTCTATCGTCTCATGTACATGTGAAAGCTGGACAATGATTAAGGAAGACAAGACCAAAGAAGAATTGATGCATTTGAAATATGGTGTTGGAGAAGAATACTGAAAGTACCATGAATTTCAAAAAGAACAAACAAAATCTGTGTTTTAGAAGTACAACCAGAATGCCCCTCTGAAAAGAGGATGGTGAGACTCTGTCTCAAGCACTTTGGACATGTTATTAGGAGGGACAAGTCCCTGCTTGGTAAAATGGAGGGTCAGTGAAAGAGAGAAGACCCCAACGAGATGACTGACACAGTGGCTGTGATATTGGCACAGACATGACAATTAGGAGGATGGCACAAGACCAGGCAGTGTTTCTTCCGTTGTGCATCATGTTGCTATGAGTTAAAGCCAACTGGATAGCATCTAACAACAAGAAGAAGGAACCCAGGGGGTGCAATCGTTAAGCACTCAGCTGTTAATCAAAAGGTCAATGGTTCAAATCCAACCAGTGGCTCTGCAGGGAGGAAAGACCTGACGATCTGCTCCTGTAAAGATCACAGCCGAGGAAACACTATTGGGGAGTTCTAGTTTGTCATGAATCAGAACAGACTTGATGGCAAGCCACAATATGTTACTGTTGTTATGTGCCGTCAAGCCAGTTCCAACCCCTAGGGAAATAGCTGCAAAATACATTAATCATTGGAACGTGGAATGCACAAAGTATGAATCTAGGAAAATTGGAAATTTTCAAAATGAAATTGAACACATAAACATCAATATCCTAGGTGTTAGCGAGCTGTAATGGATTGGTATTGGTCATTCTGAATCCGAAAATCACATGGATGACTATCCTTGAAATGACAAATTGAAGAGGAATGGCATGACATTTGTCATCAAAACGAGCATTTCAAGATCTATCTTGAAGTATAATGCTATCTGTGATAGGGTAATATCCATGCACCTACAAGGAAGATCAGTTAATATCACTATTACTCAAATATATGTACCAATTACTAAAGCTAGTCGTGATGAAATTGAAGGATTCTACCAACTTCTTCAGTCTGAAATTGATCAAACAAATATCACTCAAGATGTATTGATGATTACCAGTGATTGGAATGCAAAGACTGGAAACAAAGAGGAAGAATCAGTAGATGGAAAATATGTACTTAGTGATAGAAATGATGCTGGAGACCTCATGATAGAAATAACATGGAGACACTAAATGAGCAGCACTAGAAACATACATAAAAAGGATTTAATATGCTCTACATTTTATATTCATTTTGTATTCATCTAAGATGGCAGATTGGGTACACATGCAGTGAGGAGCTCCATCAGAAACAACACAGAATACCGGACCAAGCAGGCTCAAGGCAGGGTGCTAGAACTCTGAACCATATATGAAGGAATATTTAGAACCTTGGAAGGCTTACAGCTAGGGGAATTTATAACAGAATCAAGAAATCCATTGCTTTCTAATTCAAGACACTCAGCTACTCCCGGAGCCCCTATTTGGGAGAGACCAAGGTGGGGAATGATCAGAACAACCACGAACGCCTGACAGAACAACGGAGATACAGGTGTGGAAATTTTTTTTTGTATCTGTTCATTGGTCTCTTGCTGTCTACGCACCTCCATTCTGATGACTAGAGGGGAGGCCTGAGCGAATGGACACCCCACCCCCACCCCCGGAGGGTTCTCAGTTTGTCGTACTGTGGTGGCTTGTGAGTTGCTATGATTCTGAAAGCTATGCCACCGGTATTTTAAATACCAGCAGAGTCACCCATGATGGACAGGTTTCAGATGAGCTTCC